TCAGGACTATTGACCTCGCACCGTTTTGATTCAATCTTCTGATTATCTTCATCAGAATCACCACATAGCATTACAATTGCAACACTTCCTGGGAGTACCTGATGAAATGCTTAGGATGAGAAAGTATTGCATTCAAAGTAGAATTGTGTTAATTAATGTTTGGAATGTATCGCTGTGGATTTGGATTGAATGTGGACTGACCTCATTTAATTTTATGAATTTACCCTGAGGATCATGTTTCTACTTTTTCTTCTTCTTGGAGACCAGAGAGATTTGACAGCTTCCTTCAAGATCCAACAGATAGGTGTTAGTTGTTTTCTTACACTTATTTTGCTTTTGACTGCCAGCAACATATTCTGATTCATCTTCAGATGAGGTAACAAGTGAGACAGAGCCATTATTATTTTATTTCTTTTGAGACTTGGTGAGAGCTAAGAAGATTCCAGTGTAACACAGTGGTGTGAATCGGGACTTGGGGTGATCATGATGGGGTTATTGGTTTGCTTGAAAACACGCACTGGATGTTCAGAAGTGGCAGAAGACATGGTGCATTATTAATTAGGATGAGAGGAATTCAAAGTAAATAAAGAATGATGAGAGGAAATCAAATTCAAGATTAAATGATGTAAGTTGACAATTCAAGTAACTGAAAGGATGCATGAGGAAAACATGGGCAAAGCAAGGAGAGGACATAGGTTTTTAATTATTCTGAGTTATTTCCAATTTGTAACCAATTTGTAAGTGTATGTGTGACCATCTAGTGTGCTGTAGATTCCAGCTAAGCCACTATTTGCTGATAACTTGTCCAAATGGAGGTGTCACAGGGTCTGTTTGCAAGGTTGGATTAATAGTATGATGTAAAACATCCAAATCAAGATGTTCCACTTGTTGGCAAATCAATTTCTGACGCAATGCGGACTTTGATACCCTGACGCATTGACTGTACTGCAGCACAGCCTGTGCAGAAAAGGTATTTTTCTGGGGGCTGTAGTGCTACAGTGTATGTGACACAACAGCCCAAAAAACCACTATGCTCCACTGTGTGACCACTACAGTTAGCTTAGCTGACCAGTTGATGTTTAAATTGATTGAACCCCACTTCAATGTCTTGAAACTTATGAACAGACACTGCCAGAATTTGAACCAACAACAATTGAAAAAATCAATTTATAATTAAGCACAAATGAAATCACAGTGGTTTTGTGTGATTGTGTTTTGGTCTGCTGCCAGGTTTGTTCAAGTGATTCCAATGCTCCAAGAATAGCCACATTATTAGCAACTGAAGTGAGTTTGAATTCCTATGCAAGCTTCTTTGTGTACTGAGGATGTGACTGGGAGGTCACACTCAGACTATTTGGCTCACACAATAGCCAGGTGCTAAGCAGCTGGCTGACCAGTCACGCTCACACAACCTAGCTCACCTGCTGATAGGCAGGTACATCATGTTACACCAACATTGGATTTATGCCTTGTGAGAAAACAACAAATACAAGCTCAACACTACAAAACAGAACCTTTGAGAATGTTGGGCAAACACACTAAGCTACATGTAGACAAGACACAGCTGAGACGGCTACAAATTCTAAACTCAAGACTAACCTGAACAACAGGTGAGGAAGATTCAAAAGAGAAAGCTAGGGAGATCAAAACAGAAAGAGAAAGGAGAAAAAGCACAGTATAGAGTGTGGAGAGGTTTATTAGTGAGGGTTGCAACAAAATGATTGAGAAAACTTGAGTGCTACTAGAATTGCACCTTTAGAATAATATTCTTTGATGAGGGAAAAATATTCTGAAGGCAAACAGAGCAGGTATAAATGAAAAAAACAATAGACAAACAAAAAGACAAAACACAACTACAAAACACTACAACAAACAGAATATCCCTTAATCACATCCAAAAGCGGAACAATCTCCTAATACCATGTTCACAACATGCACAATTCCTACTTGCATTTAATTCCTTTACCAATCCATCCAGAAGAAGAGAATATGCTCAATAGTTTTGAAACACTTCACATGAAAGTGTTCTTCTGAAATACAAGAGACACTCTTTCTGACCAAATACTCCAACATGCCTACCTGTAGAATGGGTGGCAAATATGGGCAAGTGCCATGTAGCCGCTCTCACACTGCTGTCACCTTATTCTACACAACCACTTGTTGTGAGGATACCTTGGTCCCAGTAAACAGTTTCCCCATGGTGTAACAGTCTATGCTTCCATACAATGGGACACTGCAACCTTCTTGAAGAAAGCATTCTGGTTTTTATTGATGAGCACAATACTCTATCCTTCACTCTTTCACACCATTTGGTTTGCGGAAGGGGTACAGAGGACTAGTGGTACACAAAGTTGCAAACCACATGAAAAACCCGCATGAAAAACCCGCATGACCACATGGATTTTTTGATTTTCCCCGCAAAAACCAAAAAATTCATGTGGTTTTTCTGTGGGGTTTTCTCATGTGGTTTTCAACTTTGTGTACCACTAATGTTTTTGGTTCAATAGCAAGGCACTGTGTATCATGGAAGCTTTTAACAGGCATTGCTAGAGACAGAAAACAGAATGGGTAAGGTATTCATTGTGAGCTAATAAGCCCACCAAGATGTGATGAACCATATCATTCATCACACTAATGTTATTGTTGTTAGCTGTTTCAAATTCTTTCATCTCTACCAAAGACAAAGTCTTATGAAGCTGATTAGGCTGCTTTCCAGTGGGCAAGCATGTGTCACACCATGTCCTTGTGGCAGTCGCCCAACGACGAGCGCACACGAACTCCCATTGAGGCACAAAGGCGACTCGTGTGCGCTCGTCGATGAGCAAACACCACACGGGCATGGTGTCAAATTATTAGACTATGCTTGGTTGGAGCTTCATATGGATCAAACAAACCACTTAAATTTGCTACCTCAAGCTTGTCTTACTCATCCACATTATTGTCTTGATTGTCTAGATGAGCAGAGTATGAGCCTTGTGCTCAGTGGTAAGCTTGGGTTGGTTCAGGTACGGGAGCTGGTGTTTTGTGCTTTGCTTGTCTTTTTTGATAAAAACACTTATGCTTTTGTTTTGCGTGAGAATGATCAAGTTGATGAAGTTCAAAATGGATGCTAGAATCATCCTTGCCAGATTCTTCAAGATCATCATCACCACTGCTTTCTTCAGAATCATCAGATATTTAAATCATCTTCTTGTGCTTGTGCTTGAAAGAACAAGATTCCTGAAGCACAGGCAACGTCTCCACCACCTTGGTCTCAATATAAGCCTCATTTTTTCATGTTGAAGAGCAAATTAAACTTGGTCTTGTCAAGTATGTTTTTCTGCTGAGATCAAGTGAGTGTTGCAGCCATCTACTCAATTGAAACTGAACCCCATTTTACGCAATGATACAGTAGTTATGTATCTGAGAAGTTGCCAGGAGGTGGAAGGAACTTTTCCTTGCCATTGAGCTGAGTCTCTGATGGAAACTTTAAATCAATGGGTTCTGTTTGATAACATTTGTAGACATCATAACCAAGACTCAAAAATCAATCCTTGCTACTGTTCATAGTGATTTTGAACCTTTGAGGTGTGAGACCATGAGGCAGATCTTTTTACCATTTCCAGTCATGTACCATAATGTCATCATAATATTGACGTCTGAATTATTGTCCTTTGGCTAATCAACAGTACATCTTGCATGGACTGAGATGCTTGAATCAATCTGTAGATGTTTGGATTTAGAAGTGCCAAGGCAATCTGGGAACCATAGGGAGCAGGATAAATGTCTTGAGAACAATTGGTCTGGTGATGATGGGCTGTGTGTCCAATTGATCAGCCCTCAAATATACTATTTGGAAGGGTTACTGCTGTTGAAGTGGTGTTCATCATCAGGCTTTAAGCTATATTGGATTAGGAGCTGGTGCCCAAGGTTGGCCATTGTTAATCTCTTTGCACAATTCACATTTGGTGACTTTGAGGAAGCAATAGCATTTCCCACAGATTGAGCACTGGGGCATCATGCATGGTCCTAAACTTTTGTTTTTGTTTGTCCACTGACATTGACCACATTCAGATGTATTCATCAGGGCAAAGCGTTTATCACACCCAGTGCATGGCAAAAAATTATTCTTCATGCCAAAGAAATAGATTGATTGGAATTATTGAGCAACAGAATTACTGGTGACCTGTTGGTCTCCTAGAACGCACACAACAAGCGATAGAAAGGGTGATGCAAAGAAAACCTCCCTCCATTTCCTCTCTAGCTGGGCTTATAAAAACATTCTATACGTAAATCTAATGTTCTGAGGTTGGTTGGTATTACTGTTGTTCACAAAGCCAATCAAAGTTTTAGCGCTGATTTACTTGGATTTTGCGGGAAAACGCGTCAAAACACGCCAAGCTCGTCATAATCAACAGTGTGCCAAGAGCTTAGTTGCTCCCATGACGTCTAAGTAAAGGTGGCTATTACAGCTGTTCCAACAAAGATTGATTTTTTTTGAAAATCTCGCCAATGTGCAAAACCCAAGTTTTGTCCCTCACTTGATTTTGTCTCTCCGCTAATTGGAAGAATACAGGAAAAAATAAACCTGTAATCAAGTTTTGTCTTTGGTTTCAGCCGCTGCGGAGACAACTTTCTCCAGCAAAAAGTTGTCAACCTTTCTCGAAACAGCTGTATCTAGATGTTTTAAAAAGACCAAAAAGATCAATCGAAAAACCCGATGATCGGGTGGCGGACACCTCGCGTCACGGCTTCGGTATTTTGTTTCTGAAGTGTTTATTTGAAATATTTGATGAAATCGAAAATAGAAGAGAAAGAAAACTGATTTGATAATTTTAATTTTAATTTTATTTAATTTTTTATGATTTTGATCAGAGTTTAAGTTTTTAGATTCAAACCAATTCAATCAAATCAAATCAAATCAAATCAAACCCACATCTCTTGTTGACCACTACCACTCCACTACCACTACCAACCAAGAACAACCACAATCACAACCAAACACCACCTTCAAAACTGTGATGACTGACAATAGATTACCCAAATTACCATTACCTCTTCATTCTAACCATCCTAACAGTCCCTCTGAACTTACCTCTGACACTGCCCAACCTCTTACTCCTTCAATCGCTCCAGAACGTATTGCTTGTAATGGTTGTAAAAACATCTTGGAAGATACTGGTTCAACTGGTGATAGTGTAGTAGTTTCTTTTGGTAATTCACTTTGGCATGTCGATTGGTAGGTTGATCTCTCTATCTTCATTCTTACCCCTTGCTCTATTTAAATTCTACTTACTGACTCACTTATCTATGAATCGATTCTCACAATCAGTTTTCGCTGTGCAAAGTGTCGAAACTTGGTCGAACATGATACAAACCTACTCTTGCTTTCTGATGGATCACCAGTTTGCGAGAATTGTTCATATATCTGTTCAGTTTGTAAAAATCCAATCTCGAATGAAGCTATCGTCACTGGGGATGAATCTTATCATGCAGATTGCTTTAGGTGTAGATCTTGTCAGAATCGAATTGAAGAACTTATCTTTGCAAAGACTAGTCAAGGGATTTATTGTATGACATGTCACAATGATCGAGTTACTAGATCAAGACGGCATGCTGAAGCTAAGCGTAATAAGTCATCCAATCCGAACGCCAAGAAAGAACGAGAACGTGATCCAGTACGCTCCAACGAGAAATCACTCAATCCTTCCTCAAAGTCATCCAACAAGCCAAAACACCTAAATCAATCTTCAACAGGTCCTCCTCATCTGTCCAGTTTCGAGTCTTCAGCGTCACATCATTCTAAGAATTACTCACCTCCATTATCTGCTAATCAATCAAAGCATTCACCTCAACTCGCATCCAATAACAACTCGAATTCCAATTATTTTTCATCCCTAAACTCATCCACCGATAAAGCTTTGGACAATAACTCTCACCATGGTCATATGAAATCTCCACTACCTGATCTACCACCTTCAAGCCCTTCTCCAGGTCGGAGTGACGGCGGTGCTCTTCGATCAATGCGTCGTACCAGTATCGGTAACCTCTTGGGTATCACTCAGCAAAAGAAACGCTCTCCTAGTGCCGGTCCTCAAGAACCACCGTCCCGTCACAGCTCTCGTCTACCTGTCAATGTGACATCACCCACATCACCCACCGTCCCTCCCTCCCCACCTCCCAAGGACGGACCTATTCGTTCACCTTCAACATCGTCCAAACTATTCGAGCAAATCCTATCAACTGTAGAATCTCAGCCTACTGGACTTCGAGCTGTACCTCCCTCCCTTCCTTTGAGTCCAGCTTCATACCTACACGATCATCTCGGTGGCACCGCTCGTCCTCGTTATCCTACGCGTCCTGCTACCTCTGATGGATCTCGATCTCTCAATAGTTCTACCCAGTCATCGTCGAATATTCTGGCTCGTTCTTTTGAATCCTCACCTCAGATGCCTAGCCCAAAGCCAAGTCATCCAGATGATGTATCATTTTCACGTATCACAGATGATAATCATCAACAAAGTTCTCCATCAATCAATGTACCATTGGTCAACATTGATGTGGCCAAAGCAAATACCCGACGTAGCGTGATGCTTGGTCCAGGCCGAGGTAGAGCGACAGATGACCTTCATCTCGATCATTTGTCACCTTATTTCTCTCGACCTGATTTGATAGAAGAAGATCTAGAACCTGGCTCGTCAGAATCAACTGATGAACATAATCATCAAAATCAATCATCAATTCCTTCAACCCCACATCCAACTTATCCTGAACCCAAAAACCGTATTACAGTACCTGGTACAACAGATCGACCTTTGTCATTTTACGATCCTGAAGTACTCTTTTATTTGGATTCAGTTGGTAATGATAGCAATCCACCTAATGGTGACCATGAAGATGGCGTTCCGAGCGGCGTACCACTTGATTCTGCTGCTCTCGATACCCGATCTTCTACACCTGAAATGGAACATTTGGCCAGCGATGATCGACAACAGTTGCGAAGCAGACGTGATGGAAAGGATGATTCGGATGAAGTGAGCAGAAAAGTAAGAGAATCGATTAGCTTGAATCGTGATTTGGCAAATGCGACAGGTTCTGGAGGAGATATGTCATTAGATGTAGCATTAGTAGAACAATTATTAAGTTCACTTCAAAATACAAAAGAAAGGATGAAAGAGTTACAAAATGAGTATAATGCGATGAAAAGGGCATCAAGAACAGCTCATGAAGGATTTAGTCTTGCGAGAGAAGAATACGATCGAGAAGTATCTGCACGTCAAGAAGCTGAAAGCAGGATGAGAGAATTGAAATCAGAAATGTTTGAACAAGCATCTAAATTAACTGAAATCAAATCATTAAAAACACTCGAACAAGAATCGGAAGAATTGAAAAACTCAGTTTCTGGTTTACAAAAACATTTAAGTCAACTTACAATTGAACGTGATTTAAGAGTAGCTGAAGTAGAAGCATTGAATGATATTCAAAGTGTTACTGAAACTGAAGCAGAATCTTCGGTTTCGAAATCTTTATCTGCTAAATTAGATTCAGTCAAACAAGATTATCGTGATCAGATTGATGGATTGGTTCTCGAAAGAGATCGATTGAAGGCCGAAATCCAACATTTAGCTAAAGTAAGAGACTCACATGCTAGAGAACTTGATCAACTTAATCAACGACATGATCAATTGAGTGAACTTAATGCCTCAGCTGCACGTCAATTGGAAGACACAAGAGCTAGTATTGGTAGATTGGGTGCCTTGTCGAGTAGCCATGGTCATCAACATGTCGTTTCTCGCAATTTGAATGATCAACGTGGTGGTGGTGCTCACTCTCCGTCATCATCACAACAATCTCATCTTGCTCAACAAGCACAACACGATCTGGCAGATGAACAATCACCTTTACCTACTGAAGTTACAATAGCTACTACAAGAAAGTTTAAATGGGGTAAAACACAAAAAGCTGTGGTAGCGCCTAGACCCACACACCATAAAGATGGATCAATAAATGAAGCAAATGGACTGCCATCTAGTGCAGGACCAACGGCTGGAACAAGTGGAACGACACCTACTACCGCTAATAATAACTCGGGACCTAATGCATTACTTAGTTTACCTGCTGCACTTCGGCCTCATAACTTTCAACCGGTTAGTGCACTTAGACCAGTTCGATGTGATTATTGTGGTGATAAATTTTGGGGTTTAGCCGAAGTGAGATGTACAGGTTAGTAACTTTCTTTATTGATCCACATCCGTTCATGTAGAAATATTGAAACAAAATGACTGATTACGTTTCTTGACCTTAACCAGTATGTGGAAGTTATAGTCATACTAAATGTGCACCAAACTTTTTTGGATGTCAAAATACGAATGGAAATTTAAATATAGATGAAAATTCCTCTGAAATAGTTGAAGCTTGTATATTTGGAAATGATTTAATCACACAAGCTAAATTAGAAAACAATTTAGTACCACATGTTGTAGTGAAATGTATTGAAGCAGTAGAACAAAATGGTACGTTCTACTTTTTCTTCATCCATTTTTGAACCTTAGTTTTGAATGGTACGTTGACTAATTTGGATTTTTTTTATGGATAGGTTTGAAATTTGAAGGAATTTATAGGAAAACAGGAGGAATGTCATCAGTCAAGGCAGTACAAAACAGTTTTGAAAAAGGTTTAAATGTCGATTTAAATGATTTGAATAAATTTAATGATATTTCGGCCATCACTTCGGCTTTGAAAAATTATTTTAGACAATTACCTAATCCACTTTTTACATTTGAATTACATGAAGCATTTGTAACTGTTGCAGGTAAGATTTTTTTAAACTCATTTCCGATTTGATCGATCAGAAACTAATCTGAAACGAATCTGTTTTGTTTTGGTCAATATAGCTATGCCACAAGAGACAGTAAGATTAGAAGCTTTAGAAAGAGTGGTTTATCAATTACCACAAATCCATTTCGAAACATTAAATGTCTTGATGAAACATTTGAATCGAATTCAAAGATTATCAGATTCGAATAAAATGACAGCCCAAAACTTAGGAGTCGTTTTTGGTCCTACTCTTTTAAGGTCACCTAATCCAAACCGACAGTTTTCGGATATGCCTCATACTGCTAAAGTTATTGAATTGATGGTGGATCATGCTCAGGTTATTTTTAGGAAACCGTTTGGGACTATTAGTAGTAATAGTGAAGTGGGGGGGAATGAAAAGAGTACGGGGAATAATGAAAAATCATGAACTGGGAAAATCAAAGTTTGAAAAGAAGGCGATGGAGTTTTTGGTTTCATTGGGTTGATTAAATGAATGTCAATGGTTTTCTTCCTACAGGTTTCTTTTTATCTTTTCTGTTCGATTTCCTTTTTTCTTTGCTTTTTTTTTCTTTTACTCCTTCGCTCTTCTCGTACCTTTTTTTTGAAGGTGAAATTCTTTGGATTGAATGATTTTAAAGGTTGAAGTTCTTTTTTGGTGATCAGTGATGGAATATTTTGATTAAATTTAAAAAAGAAGTAAACAGGTAGAAGTCAAAAAAAAAAAGTTTGATAGGGTAGTTTCCTTTTTTTTTCTTTAGGAAATAGTTAGAATGGGTTAGGAAGGAGATGAAAAAAAAGCATGAAAGTTGATTCATTTTTTCTTTGTCTGACTTTTTGGTTCTTTATCCTTTTGGTATTTCAAATGTGTTTATCTTTATTCCATTTTTTATTTCTTTTTTGATATATACATATATATAGATTATATATATATATATGCTATAGATTAAATATATATGCTTGTTATCTTGTCGATGGCAGAGGGGGGGTAAGGGGAAAACCAGGTTTTCTTTAAGAGATCAAAGTGTTGGGTTTTCATATGATGTTTTGTTTTTTGCTTTTTTACGTCTCATCTTTTTGATTTTTTGATTTTTGATCAATTTTGTATGTCTATGCCTTTCTTTTTTTTGATTTTCTTTGTGTGTATGTGTTTGTGTTTGTGGATGGGTGTCTGGGTTTGCTTTGCATTTTATTGAAATCTAAAAATGGTATCAAATGATAAAAAATTATGTTTGTTGAGGAATTCAGGTTTAGAAAAAAACCGTTATTTGTTGATCACTTGTCCCGCAATTTAAGGAAGAAGTTCGCTGGCGATCCCGCCTGCAGCCGGTCGATAGATGGGCTGCAGCTTCAAGTCGGTCATCGGATCACGGTACTTCAGCCACGTCGGACGCCAAAAAGCTCGTCCGGGCCGGACGACGCTTGTGTGTTACTATTTTAAGCCATGTGACCAACAAGATATGCTTATATCTGATTGCTTGACTTTCTCGATTCGACTTTCATATTGAAGTTGACTTTGATTTGATAAAAACACAACTTCAAGCACTTTTCAATTTCTCAACCAATCTCACTCGAATCTCAACAATCATGGCTAGCATCTTCAACAAACGTTTAACCAAAGTTAGTCAAACTTGATTAACTCTTAAACAAGCCTCACTTTCAAGATATACTGATACTTTTCAAACCTCATTTCTTAATCAAGGAATTAATGGAGTTGCAAAATGACGGTTGTCCAGCCGGATGCAGTCTTTTAAAAGCTGATGATGTAAGTAAACCTCCTCGGTTTTCTTTCCTTTCTCAAATTCAAATGAGTCTCAAAACCCACTGAATCCTCACTTTTCATACATAGCTTAAAGAATGGAAAATCTTACTCTCAGGTCCACCTGATACGCTTTACAGTGGCGAAAGTTTTGTACTTCGATTCCGATTTGTGTGTATATTTTCTATTCAAAATTATGATTATCTATAATTTCATTGAGATGAGACTGATTCAAGCGCATTCATTCATTCAATAGTCCCCTCAATATCCTATCGAATCACCTGAAGTGGTCTTTGTGGTTAGTCCTCCTACTGGAGATGAACCTGGATGGCAAGCACCTGAGCATCCTCACATCTATGTATGTTTCAATCATGGGTATCGTAGTGAAAACCCGAAAAAACAACAGATGACTGACATGCTCTTAATGTAGAGTAATGGCCATATATGCGCATCGATCCTTTCCACCGGTTGGAGTCCAGTGCTCAATTGTTTCGCCGTTTGCCTGTAAGCTCAAATCCATAACTTCAAATGTACTAATCGACACCAAAGTGGACCCTAGCAACTGACATGAATGTATCATACTTGTTTGGCTTAGTACCATGCAATCCATGTTGGCGTCATGTAAGAAAAAAGAAAGACCTGCTGATAACGACCGATATGTGAAACACGCGCCTATCAGTCCCAAGGTAAGAGCTCTGTGGAATCATACTATCCCTCCGAATCATGCGTATCCTTCTCCTCTGCTCACTGATCTGACTTTATTTTTTGGCTTCATTGTTTTAGAACACCAAATGGGATTTCCATGACGACACAGTCTGAAAGATTACCTTCTAACTGACATACCAGATTTTCTCTTCTTTCTACAAAGCTCTTCCTTCATACCATTCAAGTAGTCAAAAAATGTCTATTTTCAATTGAGCTTAAAAACGTTTTTCTTCATTTTGTGTCTTGTTTTGATCATTTGCTTTACATCTTCCTTTATACATTGTATCTCAAAAAAAAAAAGAAAAAGGAAGTTATCAATCTAGTCTTTTAACCAAATCAATCTGTCATTATCTTTTACCTTGTACTTGTACTTGTTGATCATGATGAATCGTTTCTTTGACTATGAACTTCCATACATATTATGTTCTTGAACTCTTTTGAAAAAGTTGCCTGGTTGTAGTTTCTGAATGCTATGAAGAGCTTTTGTCATTGGTTCAAGTTGGATTCAAAATTATGTAAATGCTTCAACAATGAGGATTGCCGGAATTGGTTGTAGAATTTTGTCCCGTTGAGCAAGTGAGAAGCCAGAGCCTCGCCGGGCCCGGAACTTTATCATACAGTGTCACACCGGGTAATACCAAGGACGTGTTTGATGATTTTCAGAATTCACAAGAATGAACTCAATCACTTCTTCAAGATAATGTTCAAAGGAAATCTTAGAACAATAAAAGAAATCAAACCACCGAAACTCGCATCATTTTCGATCAATCAACGGAAATTCAATTCAAGTTCATATCAACAAGAATGGGTTAAAACAAAACTATCTTCAAAGCATTTGATTTCAATCTCAGGTGAAGATTCAAAAACGTTTCTTAAAGGATTAATCACCAATCACATACCAGATTTCAATGCAACAACGAATAACCGAAAAACTGATCAAACAGCCACCTATACCGCCATCTTAAATCCTAAAGGTCGTTTATTATTTGATTGTTTTATTTATCCTGATTTATCAAACCAATCAAACCCAAACTCATCTAGCTATTTAATCGAAGTATGTGATCGAGAATCCACGAATTTGATAAAATGGCTTTCAAGATTTATCTTAAGAAATAAAGTCAAATTAAAACTTTCAAAACAATTCTCGATTTGGACTCTTTGGAATGATTCTATTTCATTTTCTAAAAAGTCAAATGAAGGTTTACCTAAATCTATTCATGAATCAATAGAAGATTTGAATGTTTGGAAAGATGGAAGAGGTAATGGTCAATTAGGTTATAGGATTCTTGATGATCAAAGTTCATCCAACACAAAAATGGGTAAGCTTTTCGTATTTGCTCTTACTTGAAAACTTCAATATCTGATAAATTTGATTCAAAACCCATTCTTGATGACCAGAATGTTTATCAATACCCACTTCTTCAACTAATTCTTATGATTTACATCAACTTTTGAATGCTTCATTACCTTATACACTTTCACCACCTTATCAAGCAACTTTACCATTCGAAGCTAATTTAGATCATCATCATGCTATCGATTTCAAAAAAGGTTGTTATGTAGGTCAAGAACTTACGGCTCGTACTTATCATACTGGTGTGATACGTAAACGACTCGTACCATTATCAATCTTTAAGAAAAGCACGGGAGATTCAAGTGATCAGATCACTTCTATTCCTAATCAAATTGATTTTTCAGAAACTTGTGAATTTAATAAAGGTGATTTAACATTAGTATCTAATCATTCTATGAGATCTGATGATGAAAATTTAAAAATCAGTCAAAGACCTATAGGAAAATTAGTTGGACCGGTTTATAGGATTAATGAATTGATCTTTGGATTAGGTTTACTTAGGATTGATCATTCATCTTTTTCTGAAAAGTCTTGGCCTCAACTTTTTATAAAACAAGATCTTGATGTTCTTAAAGATGAATGGTTTGCAAAACCTCTTGTAGAATTAGCTTGGTGGAATCCAAAAAAATCTCACACATAGTATCGATATTAACTAAAGAAATGGCACAATATCATTTCTTGATGGTTTCTAAGTGATTAGATGTTTGATTTGTAAATTATTAGTTGGGTTAATAATATCGATTATCAATTCTTTTCTTTCTTGAGTTCATGCTTGTTTTTGTTACAAAGCTTTCTACCTTTTAGACTGAAGTTTCAATACTGAAGCACATCATACCTTCAAGGCTGTGGGACAAGCTCTCTGAAAAAAGCTGAATCTATTTTGATGATGCTGGACTAGAGGAAAAGAAAGATGGTCATCCTTGCGATGTCTCTGCCCAATGCACGCATAGCCCGACATTGCCATGTGCCCTTCGGAGCAAGGGCGCGCTCTTTGCGCAAGTCAATACCGGACCCGACAGCATGCACCGGTACCTATCGGGTTGGAAATACTCGTGAACCGAGCACTGCAGATCAATCAGCCTCGGCAAGATTCGATCAAACCAGATCAAACCACACCTCACGAAAAAGTCAAATCGAATTCAAATCAAAAGAAACCTTATCAAGAATGTCATTCTTTGGTCGTGGAAGTAGTCAACCAACAGCTTCGTCTTCTGCAGCAATGGATTCAGCAGTAACAGAACTTGAAATGGTATCTGATCTTTTTAATCGGTTAGTTTTATCACTCAATCTCTAAACAATGGAAAAACAAGTTGTTTCAAAATGAAGTTTCTTAATGACTTTTTTTTTGGGTGGTCTTGATCTTGGGTGTTTTAGATTAGTACGATCTTGTCATACTAAATGTATTGGAAATAGGTATGCTGAACCTGATTTAAATAAAGGTGAAAGTGTTTGTGTAGATAGGTAAGTGATTTGATCAAAAGTTTTTTCCATTTCAAGTTAAAATGATTTAAAACTTAGAGAAAATTTGACTGTTTTTTTTTCTGCCTTTCTTTCTTTCTGAATGGTTAATAGATGTGTTGAGAAGTTTTTTAATGTTAATGCAAAAGTAGGAGAAAGAATGCAAGCTAAAGGAAATTCAGGAAGTCCTTCGTTTATGTAACCTAATCAACCAGAAATATACCTTAGATTAGAAAGCTATTTTGAAAGGAGAAAATAATTGATTTAAGTTTTATGATTAATTTCTTAAATCTGTGCTTATTGAGATTTTTCTTCATGTGATTGTTTATTGCAGAGGGGCCAGGGTGTGATCAGGATTGTAAAATGAGTTGATGAAATTTTGAAAAAATCCATACGGTCAACAAGGGAATCACATATCTGGAAAATTGATTCAAGTCTTTGATCGACCACAGTACAATCACCCGGCATCACGCTTTACCCACAAAAAACAAATCTACTGCACTCTTTTTACATCTGTTGCGCATTATCAATAAATCTTTTCGAATTTTTGATTTCAAGGTCTTCTCAAGTCGCGCATGCATTTTGTTGACATCACCGTTTACTACGTCGTAGATGACAATGTATATCTACATCGCTTGTCATGAATTTAGTAAGTCGATGAATCAGTATCTGGACCTTATTATCATTTCAATCCATGAATCCTTTCGGTGCTTGAGTCCTTCGCCTATCTTCAGCACTCGGGTATCGCCAGTTTTGGGAAGCAGTAGATGAACCCTCCATTGCTGGCTTATTTTTATCCATTTCACCCTTGAGAATCTTATTATCTGTTATTCCTCTCACGTGTTCATCCATTGGATTTGAAGACATGTTGGGAATTCTGGACAGTCTGGACGTCCAGTGCGATTTTGAGCTCTTAATTTAGGGCGCGTTTGTTTAGTGCGATTGCCTAGAAATCGCATTCTGGGAAACCACTTTGGTAAATCTACGAAAGCCCTTCTGTAAAAAAACGTGGTTTGCCTTTTGGAAGGATGAGATCAAAAAGCGTGTGAAAAGTCTTTGGTCTTGTCAGATCTTAAGCACAGCATGTTCAAAAATTACTTCATCTTGGTGTCTCTGAAGCAGCTTCATCAAACCAATTTGAATCAATCTCTTTCAATTATTATTAGATAATCTATTCCAATCATACAATAAATAATACCAACCTATATACATTGAAAGATCCCAATAAAATAAACTACAACAAAATTACAAATGAGAGTAAAAGATGAATGTTGTGAGTAAGATGCAAAATGCTCAAAATCACCCTTGACTCCACACATCCTTTGAATTTCCTTCCATCTTCTCATCAATCAATCTACTACACACATCTCCTTCATCAATCAATCTCCCTCACACCGCGGGAATTAACTCGTTCAAAACCCGATTGAGCGAAATTTCGGTGTCCGGGTTCGAAATTTCCTCGAATCGTGAAACTCGTTCACAACTCGTTAGCATTATGTTCGCCGATTTCCCTTGAGTACGCTACAATACATATACATACACAGCACTCTCAAAACCTTTGATTCCAACGGTTTGGCTGTCTCACTTCCCCACTGAACTCCTTTCTTGTGTATCTGGTTGATCAAGGCTTGACAAAGGAAGGTGAAGGCGAGTAATGGTGAAAGGGGTTGTTATTTTATCATGTGACTGTACATACACGGGGCCAGCAGTCAGCCCGAGGGAAATTGGCAAACCTAATGCTAACGAGTTGTGAACGAGTTTCTTGATTTGAGGAAATTTCGAACCCGGACACCGAAATTTCACTCAATCGGGCTTCAAACGAGTTAATTCCCGCGGTGTCATCATTCAATGAAAATGAAGATATTGGATGAAGATATTGAACATCAATCAAATCAAGGTATCATCTACAATTTTGTTCTATACAGCCTTTCTGTATGAGGAATATCACTATATGTAATTGTGGATTTTACATGAGCACTCCAATCTTTCTTTTATTGAAGTGTGAGCACCGACTAAGGCATGTCTTGGTGCGGAGTTCCATGAGCTGAAGAGTTGGAGGTAGGTGTAAGAATATGCTTGTAACAAGGAACCTTGGAAGAGGTTCTCTCTCCCTGAAATTGAGTTGAGAAGAAAGTACAAAACTTTTCTTACACAACCCAAAATTTCCGCGCTACAAGTTTTTCTCTTGCCTACGCTCAACTCAGCTCTCTCAAGTTTTGAAAGTTATATTACATCATCAAAAAATTTGCCACCCACCCACCCGGCAAAGCAGCAAGAGCCAAGTTTGCCAGATGAGAACTTTTTCTCACTGATGCAAGTCCGGAGCCCGCAGGCGGCGCCCCCCCGTACCTTAGGGTAACAAAAGGTATTGTGTTGCCCTAAGGGGGAGGTTGGTGAATTGGCAGATTTAATAAAACATTGGACTCACAACTCCAGACAAATGGACTGGTTCTGGGGAGAATATGAAGAAATTAATGGCAGAGACGTTTGGAAAATACTACTTACACACATATCAATTCAGCCTGAGCCCCAACCCAAAAAATGCGGGTAATGGCCTACCCGCACCCCAAACCAATATCCAAAGAGCTCCCCCGGGCCCAAACCCTACCCCAACCCAATCAAACCCCAGCTCTCAGAAGCCCCCCCCCAACCCCTATCCCAAAGGCCTAAAACCTGCGGGTAGCCAGGGATCCCCGAGGATAACATTGGGGGTTTGAGGACCATGCAGCCCCTGCCCCCAAACCCTACAGGCCCCCTGATGTATTGGGGTCCCAAAACGCCTGACCAAACCCGCACCCCAAAGGTTTGGGGCGTTGGTTTTGGGGCTCAGGCTGAATATCAATCAATTTGAGCATGATTTCTGCCCTACATTTCATCACAGCTTTCCACAAGGTCAAAGGACTTCATAAAATACAACTTCCATATACAATCAGGAATTACATATCAAAATACTACCCATAGACAAATGCTGCAGGGGACAGATATATGGAGAAACATATTGTGGAAAATAATGTTAAATTTAATGTATTTGTATATTGATAAAGATTGAAGATATTCAAGATCCAAGTCTCAATGATAGTACAAAAACAGTATTTTTTGTCCATGATTTTTTTGAACCTCAATAACTCAGTCAATTTACATGATAAAGTTTGATAGACTATATATTCTTGATCTGTGAATACAGGAGCAGGTTTTTATAGATTTATGATGACATATGATGACATCAGAATTTTGGTGGTATGACCGGCAAATTACTCCCACAGTGATATTACACGTTGAAACAATTTTGAAGTCATTTTCAAATCCTGTTGAAGTCCTGGTGAAGTCAGTGGTAGTCTCTGGCCTACAAGTGACCAGTAGCTGGGGACTGTGAAGTCAGTAATCAATCAGTTAACATTCAAGACTTCTGTGATTTTTTTTCTAAAAATATCTTTCAACTACAATCCAGATTCAAAGATCAAAGAGGTTCTTTTACCACATTTAAGTTATTGGTCAATACCTTGGCTGGTATGCAAGTGGATGGTGATAATTTATTGCTGTTATGAATGTTCTTATAGTGAGCAAAGATAAGAATGTTTGAGTGTTTTGGAATCAAGTATGATAACTGTAGGTTTGGGGAACTAAGAGCATACGCAATAGCACATTGAGAACCAACTCATACACAATATCTAATAAAGAATAGTTCTGACCTGGATATTGGTACAGATGTTTTGTTAGTTTAAGTTATCTCTGATTCAATAACTGATCTCTGGGAACTAAAAGAGATAATGAACTATATATTGATTGAAACGTAACATAACATCAGAAATGGAAACATTAATATAAGTAAGTTAAGAGAATAAAAAATGAAATTGTACGTACTTCTCTTTCCAAAGATGAGGAAAGAGAAGTACAATTGGATTGATAAGATGACTTATAAGTATCAATCATTAATCTATTTGATTGGGGTAAATAGACTGTAGCAATTTCCTCAATGGTTTATCTAATTACATCTCTGTCTCTTTTCACACTCTCTCTAATCTTTTTGTTTCTTTGTTTCTTCTTTGGTCAATTGCACAATTCAGCAAAAGATTTTTTTTAGCAAGTTGCTGCTTTGGTTTGTAGATATGTTTGACCGAGTCCAACCTCTGATCATGTCCAACTGTTGTTTGTACACATACTGTGGCTGAAGGACCCTCAACAACAAACATAAAAATGACAACAGTGATCATCAAAGTCCTCAAATATTCAAGTTTGGATCGGATTCATACACAGAAATTCAAACACATGTTAGTTATATTCAACTTTTTGGAGTCATATTCAAGCCATTGCCCCAGCCCCACAATTCCGGGGAGTCCCTGAATCCCACCCCTGCAAGTTTGGGAGACAGGATGAGGGTTGGGAAGAAACTTTTGGTGGGGAGCTTACGGGGACAGGCTTCAGGGGAGCTGGAGGGGCTAAAAGCAAGGCCTGTACAGCTAAATATGTGTGACTCCTGCACTTGCAAGCTTGAGAGCCAGGGCCAGTCTTTGCAAAAAATTTCCGCCAGGGAATTTTGGGGGCGGCTTTGGGAGAGCCAGGGAGGGTCAGGGAGGGGCCAGGGCAAAGACCTGGATGGAACTGTAGACAGGTTTTTTCTTTGTGCTATTGCCCTTGGCTATGTTGGTACCTTTGAGTAAGTAGAAAGTGTAAGATACACTGAGGAGCCACATGAGACCATTTTTTTGAGTGCCTAGATCACACTGGCAAGACAAGAGTAGGAAGGTCAAATGATTAGTTGACCTTAAACACATATCACCATCAGAAGAAAAAATGAGATATTATGGATATCTTGTACCCGGGATTTTGGAGGGAACTTCCTCCACATAGTCATACATCTACTGCTTGCTTGTGCACAGGTTGATCTCAACCCCCTTGTCACTCGAGAGCAGGCTTATCTTGTCTCCCTTGGTTGGGGTTGCATTTGGTTTGATCTTTGTTTGGGTGTTGAACAGACCAAGATCGGTGTCAGGAAGTAAGTTGTCAGACTGATCAGCATATGGCACATTGCAAGCTACAGGAATCCCTTGGCTAAGCCTGCCAAACAACACATCGGTCAGCAAGTGTACAAACACATCATGAAAATGCCCAGCTCATGATTGAAGGGGTTGAATCAAATACTCAACACCAGGGTAAACATCATTGGGTTTTAGAAGGGTGCTCATTCGTGCAGGTGAGGAACAGTAGTTTGACATGAAAACAGAACTGGTGGTGTTGACAAAGTAGAAAGCGTAGACATTGAACAAGGATGACAATTTGAAAACTGATGATTGACGAGCTTTGGTGGTGTGACACAATCCAGACTCAACCTCTATCTGTCCCAATGGGAGGTCTATCTAGGTCTATCCAATCCATTGGCGGTCCACCTGTGGTTGGAATGTGGGTGAAGACGGGTCAGAAGGAACGGTAGAAGGAAAGGGAAGGCCCCAGCAAAAAAAGTGGGATGTGATAGATTGTGTGTATGGAGTCAGTTGAGATTCATCTTGATCCGATCTTCTCAACATGATTGCATTGTTATCTGTTATCTGTTTTCTGATAAATAATGAAAAAACAATTTCTATCTCTTGGGATTAGTTTGTTGCCTTATCATTGACATCTTGTCAGTTCTTGTACTCTTATAATTTAGATTTATGTCATCAAATTCAATTGCTCCATCTCATTTCATGAGATTCCACCATATCACTTTCACTTCAAGTCTGGTATTCAAAATCATTTTTAAAAGCATCTACAAACTTTGTCTTTTAAGAGCTCAGCCCGTGTACTTTTTATCCTCTTTTATTCTTACTGGAATGACTAATAGAATGATGATCATTCACTTCTTACGTTCATCTTTCATCAAAGCTCCCATTGAGTTTATTTGAATTTGATCACATGAAGTGGGTATGTTGCTTGCTCATACTAAAATTCAAGCATCAAGCTTTGTGAACGGTCAGTCGTGTTGTGAATGGTCGTGTATCAGAAAATTTTGAAGCTCCTGTGTATTTGATGATACCAGATGGTAGGTAAAACTTATGTCTTGACCAACTCTAGATTGAATAATTAGCTCAATAGGACATGCCTTCTTCATATGCAGTGTTTAATTCTTTGAAGCTACAGTGATTTTAGAAATCATTCTAGAAATATGCAATTGGTTCAACCATCATTAGAAAAAGTGGTAACATTGTAGAACTCAGTACCGCTATGAGGAAGATTTACCAAAGTTCAATAGGTAGAACAACAGAACAGACCAAGTCAAAGTGCACATGAATGTCTGAGACGACGGGTTGTATCACAGTGCCCGTTGTATGCGTCCTCGACGTCGAGGTCACATCTAGTGTGTAATTTTGTTCAAATTTTGTTCGCGTTTGTAAGTAACACATCTCTTTGAGAAACATGAACAAAGGCCAGGTTTTGCTCAGAGACAAAAAATAGTAACTTGACTCTTACACAAAGTTGTTCAGCTCCTTCTCTCTGAGTGCTCACCTACCGTCAGGGACTCCAAGGCAAACTACTCAGTTCCGACTGAAGTTTGAATTCGAATTTTCATCAAAGCAATTTGTTTTGCTGTGCTATCAGGTCAGTGCACTTCATTGTCGTTTTATGGTTGTGTTTATCCATACTGACACCTTTGTTCGTCATGTAGCCATCATCTCTGCTATGCCTACGTCTGGTGAACGAGACTAAGAAGCTTCCAATCCGTGACGAGTCTCTTGATATCAATACCTGATCCAACAGTATTCTATCCTGGAACGTACTGAAATCACTATAGTGTGAAGAACATCAACATCACTAATCATGTTCTCGCCCGTCTAAAATCCAACTCTAATCTGTTCCATGACGTGAATGATACCAGCAAAAAGAGATGCACCGACCCACCAATGAGTCCAATATCAATCATAATGGATGCATATGATGTTGACAGACTGTCTGTAAACTCAATTGTTCAGCCGTGAAGATTAAGGGTACCATCCTTCCACAAATTTATCACCACCATCATCAATATCATGATTGGCCCTATGTGGTTGGAAAAAGTGACAATCAGAAGAAAGATTCATCTTTTAGTCCTTGACAACTAAGCACCAATAAATATCTTCAAAAAAAATTGAAACAAGTATTCCCAAAAATAAAGTCTGACAACACAAAAAACTTCAAATTCATCACTTCCTCATCTTTGTACAACAAAACTGCCATCCAGAAGAAATTCTCAGCAGAAAGGGTTTTTTTCTTCTTGGAAATATCAAATAAAACTTTAGAAAAATGTTTTAAGAAGTATTGAATTGTGTTTCAATCATGTCCATTATCTAAAAACCGCAATTCAGTGTCATTCCTTTCACGAGCCCAAACATCAAGACCTTCATATTCTTTGATACAAGCCTAAAAAGAGATCGAACCAAAAATCAGTTTTCAATATCTCTTTTAATCATTTAAGTAACCCCAAAACAATGAATCATAAAGAGACGACTTCACATACTATAAGTCACATGCTGGGCTAATCGTTCATCATCTTCTCGTTTAGGTTTATCTAGTATCAAAAACATCAAATTGACTAAGTAATGCAGCTGGTAAATTGATATCATCTACTGGACTGGTTTTTGAATCTTATTGACCATGGAGTGGATTGGCTGCTGCTAAGATTGAGGCTCTTGCATTCAAGGTAGTAGTGACACCTGCTTTCAAAACCAAACTCGTTTGTTGTCCCATCACTTCAGAATCGCTGTTCAATCAGATTTGTCCATCTTAACAAATCCATCAATACAACAGATTCCATGACCGGCTAATACTAAACCTCCACCCTCTAAATCAAGCAAAGATACATAGTCAATATTCAAACAAGTTCCAGAAGATATACAGTTCGATAATTTCTTCGTGTTCCCCATCCAGATGTCCTGAAGTTACTGGTATATTGAGAAAAAGTCGCAACAATGCTTTTGAGTAAGTTTGAGTGAAGGTGTATCTTGTGAATGACTGTGCAAGAGAGGTTCCGGTTTTGAGCGAGCTTCATCAGCCATTTGAACGGCAGGTATGTAGTGGTGTTTGATAAAAGTGATCAATAGCCTGGAGAATCTTTAGTGACTATGTATGTACATACATACACGTGAGCTGTACCAGGGTTTGGCGCTTTCTGCACAAAAACAAAACCCAGCATCATTTATTTCAAAACTCTCAGTTCATTGAGGTTGAAGAGGTAGTGTAAGTTCATCATAGTCTCAGCATCAACGCTTGGTCACACTCATTAGGTGTTGAGATTAAGTCAAAGGCTGATCTTTGACTGTAGAAGCCCTTGTCCTCAGTCGGCGCTGAACATGGATTTTGTTTGAAAACGGTTCAATTGCGAGCAAAACTGTAGATAGCATTGTGACCTCGACGTCGAGGACGCATTCAACGGGCACTGTGTATGTGATTGGACAAAATGTCATGATGATAAAATCCTTGGTATTGGTCAAGTCAATAGGTCAAGATTGGAAAATGACTCGACATGAAAGCTCCACATTACTGAAACTACATGACAGGTGATTGGTGCAGACAGGACCCTGGAAAGCGCGTACAGACCCTCCTAACAAAACACACTTTTTGGGTATTTGCTTGTGCACACAACACTCCACTACTTATGGAGGTGCACAGTAGCTCATTGTGTGCGGGCAAAGAAGGGCTATCTTATGATGCCAGCCTCGAGTTTTTTGGAGTGCTGGTTGAGGAGAAAAATGCAAAAAAACCTGATTTTTTTTTGATGATCCTGAGCCGATTCCTACATACCGGGGCCGGGTCTCTACATTGAGACCAACAAAAGCTGATCATGTTTGAAAACGTGACAAACTTTGTGAGCTATTAGCTTGATATTCAATATCCTCAATCATTAAGGAAGAAGAAGGATATAGATATATGAGGTAGTATTGTTGGATGAGTAGATCTGCAACAAAAGAAAAACTTCTTGAAGAACAATAAAGACCATATAATTACAGCCCACAACATCATACGGCAAAAACAAAATTGCGGCCTCAGCCAAGTAGATCAGTGTTTCAAATGATCACAAGTTTGATTTTGAAAGAATTCCAAATTTCATCCACGTCGTCCTTAGTCAGTTTCTTGCAATGACGGTGATCACGGGTCCCGTGGACGTAAGGATGATAGTTGCAAAGATGTAAAACAGAGAGCTTAGGCCATGTATGTGTTGACAAAAAATGCTTCAACAAGTTCCATTGATCCTTCTTGACAGGAAGACATAATTTGATCATTTGTATATTTTTACAGCCTTTAAAGCTTACAAATAGATCAAAGTTTCTTGAGTGATGAGCTAGGATGAGCTGTTCGAGAGCTGGGAGATCAGTCTGACCATCGACATCTTCTTCGTCGTAGTAATCCACAATTGTGACCTGTAATCTAGTAAGACAAGGAGCAGCCCCGCTGAGTAGTTTCTGGACCATGCTAGCAGTCAAGTCGCGGCAAATTTCAAGATCAAGATCTGTAAGCCAGCCAAGTGTTCAAGGTCCAAGTTTGATCATCGCAAGCGATACCATCAAGACGTAATCGGCGAAGGTTATGATGCTGGGCCAGGATCCATCCCAAGGATTTTTCCGTGGATCCTACTTCGCCAAACCGAGAGTAATACAGTTCTAATGATGCAAGAGACGGCAGTTTCTTGAGAAGATAATCAACAGTTGTCCTCGGAAGACTCTCATATCCAAGATCCCCTACTTTCAAATGTTTAAGTTGAGGGATAAGTCCAAATAGACCTTTCAAGCGGAATATGAAAGAAGAAAACAATTTTGTGTCATACAAATCCTCTGGAAAATCAATTTCTACTGATTCTAAACAAGAACAAGATTTGAAAATCTTTTCAATGTTCATCAGCCCAATCCCATTTCTTGTCACATCTTGGGTGCTGTCGGATGGTTTAACTTCTGTGTTATCATCAACACTTCTTTCAACTTCTGTAAGCTCTTCATCTTTAAACAAGTCTTCTATTTCGAATTCAAAGGATTTTACTAGCTGCCCGTGCCTCAAGAGTATCCCCTCTGTCCAAAGTGACATAGGAGCAGGAAGGGCGCTAGGAAATCGGAGGTGCTGATAGGTTCACCCGATACAATCGAATAAGCATCTTTCAAATTCACATGTGGTTTCACTGGAATTCAGGCAAAGAAAGAGATTCCATACCTGCCACAACACAGGGAGACAAAGCCTGTGAAATCTTCTATTCACCGCGGCCAGACTTTGAAAGGTATTAAGAATTGGCGGGCTATAGTGATCCAGGTATGCTTCACAATTTGAACCTTCCTGTAGAGAGTGTGAGATCCGCTCCAATTTTCTTGTTGTTGTAGATGCTTTTTCTTCGTGAGACTGGTGGTGAACCATGTTCACGATGTTCTCCAAGATCTCCACAGGAAAATTGGCGCGACCCATGATACATTGAGCTGGGGATTTTGATTGGAATCGACCTGCCAAGAGTTGATAGGCATCTCCAGCAGACCCATAAACGTTAAGTTTGCGTTGGAGTTCTTCGTCAATTGACCAGAATATAAGACTGAAGACTGCTCGGTTAAGCTTTGGATCGTGCTTGTGTAACTCGTGCCAAAAATAGTCGGCAGACCCGGTGAGGTTGCTTATCATGACCTTTAAATGGAGGGCATGGTCGCATCCGCGGAACTAGGGAACGTTCCCAAAAGAAAGTTCCTTAACACCCCCCTAGGAACCTGTCATAGCAAGTGTCACACGAGCCTGAGAACTCGTAAAACCTTTGCGTCGGACAGATGATCCACACGCGTTTGACGCAGTGGGATACCCACCTATCACGATACCGCACTCCCAATCCAGCGCCATAGTGGACCACGATTCCCAAACCACGATTAAATATGTGAAAACGTCTGACAAAACGAGCACCAATGGCCACCTCAAAAAGATCCAAACTACGAAAGAGGGCGTTATTAACCCTCCTTGACGACTTTACCGAGAACCCTCAAAGGTTTAACAAACGGCCCAAACTTGGTTGAGCATGTCCTTATCTTCACACCAAACGCGCAGCAAGAAGAAATATAATGCCACCGCTGTCTTCTCCTTCTTTACCGCTTCAACCAGTTGAACCTCGCATTATCAAGGAGCTGCGCTCTGGCCAATTAAACATTCGCAACTACCTACTTTTTCAATTTCACTATCAATTTAAACCACGGTCTGTTTGTGACCGTGTTTTCAATGCCCACCAATCTTGTACTACATTATCCTAACCTCATTTATGAACGTCGGCTTCATCCACACAGTCAGCTACAGGTCGAAAACGGTCAATCAACAGGCTTTTGTTGTTCTGGTCATAGTTGCAGACTCAAACCCATCCACTCTTCAAAGTATTACAATCCTCGCCATCAACCCAACAAGCCTTTAATCGGTATCAAGGTACGCTGCATTTGACTAATCTTTCATTATCGGCTGGGTAATATCTAATATTATCCCCATATGTGTCTCTGCCAGTGCCCATTCCAAGGTGGCTCCATTCGAACATATAATTGCTTAAATTTCATTCAGGACATTCGCACATTGAATCATGCAACTGACCCTTCATTCGACAAACCAGCCAACGATCAAGAACAACATTCCAGTCCTTCAGTTCAGCGTCACAAGAGAATAAACCATCACCACAATAATAAATCGATGCCTGACAATAAACGAGCGCGATTGCCATGTGCGGGAATAGACGGGGTAGTTACTCACAAAGGAAAATCCAAGCACAGCAATCGCCAATGCCAATGGCAAGCGTGTACTGATGTAAGTGTGAAGACCTCTACAACACCGAAAGACATTTGAGCTGATGAACGTCTAATCTTATAATCTATGACATGCAGTGCTGCCGATCTCAGCAAGATGCAACTGGATCAAAGTGCCACACACACGAAAGCGGGGAGCGTGCAAAGAACGTCATACCAAACACCCAACCTTTCCTTAATACCGTCATTGAAACCGCAGAAAATAGCAACATTGGACTTACGCCCGCGACAAACAACCATGACAGTAATTCCAGCTCGCAAATTAACGATGCGAACTTACTTGGGCCGGCCCCACCGCTGCATCCTTTGGTTCTATCACCTTCTACTATGCGCATGTACCACCTCAACCGATCAAATGAAGAGGAAGCAAAGCGAGCAGCAGAGGAGGCCGACGCAAGATGTGACAAAAACATCTCTATATCGTTATGGTTGAAGGTACGCCAGCGTATAAACCCACCATTTCCAATACCATCCTTCAGATCAAGTTCACAAGTCTTACAAGCGTTTATTGCAGGCGGAAGACGATCCAATCCCCTTCATGTTTGCATCCAAATCCATGAAGCAATTTGCGATATCCGAGTGTGAAGCATTGATGATTTTTCTTAAAACATACGATCCTCATTGGAACAAGTTACTGCGTGTGT